AGCACTTTGATAAGTACTTGCAAGGGTCCTGTGACAATCTTGGGAAATCATAGTTATTCTTTCTCTTACCAGCACCTTCACCGTTCCCACTTTCTGTTATAGCACCTGAGTTAACAGATACTTGGGTAAAACCATTTTGTAAAATCCTTGATGTATTAAATATGCTATTGAAATTTGCTGCATAAGGAATCAAATTGTAATTTCTAAAATATCCATATAAGCTATATAATCACATTCTGAATCCTGTAGTTTAAGTAAAAACTTCATATTTTCTGTGTATTGATAACTAAATAATATTAAATGTTATAATTTGATACCAAAATCAGAGCTCATTTGTTCTTTGGGGTTTGGGGCCTGGGTGACATTCCAGATGTGTCATGGGCCACTCAGCCACCCAGGGCAGTGTAACTATTAGTCCAGATGGGCTTCACACTACAGCCCTCATTAGTGACCCTGCAGTTTCTGCTCATTCAGGCATTTCGTGGGCTACAAGCAGGTAATTGGGTCCCTGAATGGTGGGTCCAGTTGTGATATAAATATGTTAAAACTAGAATATCAAAAGCAAACATGAAAAGTATATGGTTTAGATTCATTTGAATTCATACTTTAATGTATTTTCTAGGTTAACCACTAAATGCAGAGAAGGGGAAAAAGTGAAATAAAAATGCATAATAAATTTTTCAAAAAGGCAAAAAGAAACAGAAAAAGAAATATTGAACAAGCAGGGCAAATAGCACAGAACAAGAATGTAAGTTTAAATGCAGATATATCAGTAATTATGTTAAATATTCCAGTTCAGTGACAAAAGTTGTTAGACTAAATAGGAAACCAAAATCCAATTCTGTGCCACTTAAATATGATATAACAATTGATTAAAAATGTATTTGATAAAATTCAATATCCTTTTGGAATTAAAAGGAAGAAAAAAAACGGTGAACAAGGAATGGAAGGAAGTTCCTTAATCTTGATTAAGGGTATCTAACAAAAAGTGTATAACAAAAAATACGATATTTAATGGTGAAACATTGAAAGCTTTCTTTTATATATATATATATATTTTATTGATTTTTTACAAAGAGGAGGGAGAAGGATAGAGAGTTAGAAACATCAATGAGAGAGAAACATCGATCAGCTGCCTCCTGCACACCCCCCACTGGGGATGTGCCCGCAACCAAGGTACATGCCCTTGGCCGGAATCGAACCTGGGACCCCTGAGTCCGCAGGCCGACGCTCTATCCACTGAGCCAAACCGGTTAGGGCTGAAAGCTTTCTTATTGAGATTTTTTTTAAAAAAGACAAGAATGCCCATTTTGACCAATTCAATTCAATTTTGTAATGGAGATCCTAGCTAATAAAGTAAATCAGGAATTATAAATAAGTTATAAGGTTTGAAAAGAGGAAAACAATACTGAAATAGGGTATGTGGTGTTGTGGTTAAGAATGTGGCCTGTAGAATTGGACAGTTCTGAGTACAATTCCTGGTTCTGCTACAGTCTGTGTAATTCTGACAAGTTGCTTAGCTCCCCTGGGCCTTATCTCCTCCTTGCATAATAGGAATACAGGGCCTACCTTGTAGGAATGTAACAGGCTCAATAATAACTGCTTGCTGATAATAATAACATCTTTTGTTGATCTCACCAGCTGCATTAAACCAGAAATCTCCAGGTGATTGAAAAGTGTGGGAAGGACAAGGGACTGCCACCCCCTCTTATCTATCTTCATTGTCCTACAACTCCCTAACTGTCAAGGTTGAAGGCCAGAGGGTCGGGCTGTGTTTGGGGGCAGCACAACACTAGGTAATGTGTGTGGGCAGTTGCTTCACTTCTATCACTCATACTTATTTGGACAATCATAGAATTGTCCTCTTGAACTTTATCGCGTGATTTTGTAACAATATAATAAAACAGGATGATATTTCAGTGGCTGTGTGGGACACTCATACTAATGTTATTTCGCTATTGAGGACACACACCACCTTAGTGTGTCAAACTACATTAAGTGGTGATATACTATAAAAAAAAACAACAAAAAAACAGTACTTTTAAAAATCTATTAAATATTCCCAAGAAGAACATAAAAATATCCAGAATGAAAAGAAAGCAAAACCTGCAGAAAATGAAATCAGTCATTATTTTGTTTTCTGTAGCATAGCAGTTAAAAGAATGGGCTGTGGAGTAGGACAGATAGGCAAGTAGTTATCTGTTGCTGTGTAACAAATTACTGCAAAACATAGCCGCTTAAAACAAAAAAATATATATATCTATTATCTCATGGTTTCTGTGCGTCAGAAATGTGAGCATGACTTAGCTGCGTGCCTCTGCCTCAGGGTCTCATGCTGCTGCTATCAAGGTGTTGCCGAGGCCGCGTCTCAGCGGAAGGCTCAAGTAGGCCAAGACCCCCGTTTAGGCTCGCTGGGGGGGGGGGGGGGGGGGGTGGCTGGCGGGTTTCAAGTCCTCAAGGGCTGTTGGTTGGAGACCACCTCAGTTCCTTGCCCCATGGGCTGCTCCATAGGCCAGATCAAGTAAGAGAGGGAGAGAAGGTATGCACAGCCTTTTAGTCATCTCATCTCATCTCAGAAGTGACATCCCATCACTTTTGCCATATTTGATTGGTTAGAAGCAAATCACTAGCTCTAGTCCACAGGGGAGGGGTTTTTACTAGGGCATGAATACCAGGAGGTGGGGATCATTGGAGCCATTTTATAGGCTGCCTCCTTCATTCTGTCCTCTGGCCCCCACTGATTCATATCCCTCCCACATGCAGAATACACTCACCCCCTCTTAAGATCCCCATACGTCTCACCTCATTATAGTATCAGCTCAAAATCCAGAATCATCTCATCCAAATCAGGTCCAGGTGGGGATGAGGCTTTTGAAGACAAATCTCTATTATCTATTGGTGTATAACATATCACCCCCAGATTTGATAGCTTAAAACAACAAACATCTCACAGGAGTGAAGGATCACTAGAGCTGTCTTAGGGGCTGCCTACCACCACTGTCTAGGTCAGTGATGGCGAACCTATGACGCATGTTAGAGGTGACACTCGAACTCATTTTTTTGGTTGATTTTTCTTTGTTAAATGGCATTTAAATATATAAAATAAATATCAAAAATATAAATCTTTGTTTTACTATGGTTGCAAATATCAAAAAATTTCTCTATGTGACACGACACCAGAGTTAAGTTAGGGTTTTCAAAATGCTGACACGCCGAGCTCAAAAGGTTCGCCATCACTGGTCTAGGTTCACATTCTTACTCTGCCACATACTAGCTGTGTACCCTTGGGCTAATCACTTCCCCTTTCTTGTGCTTCACTTATTTTCATCTTTAAAATGGGGCTAATAATAATACTTACCTAATAGGGATATGATGATTAAGTGACATAATTTGTAAAGTAATTAGCATAGTCCCTGGCAAATAGTAAATGTTCAATAAATGGTAGTCATTTATAATTAATGTTATTAGAATTGTTATTTTTTAAAATATATTTCTTTATTGATTTCAGAGAGGAAGGGAGAAGGAGAGAGAGATGGAAACATCAATGATGAGAGAGAATCATTGATCGGCTGCCTCCTGCACGCCCCCTACTGGGCATCAAGCCCACAACCCAGGCATGTGCCCTTGGCCAGAATCGAACCCGGGACCCCTCAGTCCGCAGGATGATGCTCTATCCACTGAGCCAAGTCGGCTAGGGCTAGAATTGTTATTTTTTATTTTTTATTTTTTTCAAAGAAAAAAACTTGAGCCCTGCCAGTGGCTCAGTTGTTTGGAACATGGATCCTATACACCAAAAGGTTGCGTGTTCAATCCCCAGTCGGGGTGCGTATGGGAGGCAACTGATCGGTTTTTCTCACATCGATTTTTCTCTCCCCCCCCCCCCCCCCAAAATCTGTGGAAACATATCCTCAGGTGAGGATTCAAAACAAATAAAAAACTTGAAAAGCTTTCTTAGAATGTAGAGAGAAAAAGATATAGAGAGAAGATGCTAGGCTCTGGATACAAAGGGTGAGAATTCAACCTAAAACTAGTCCCAGTGCTTCAAGGAGTCCAAGGAGATCAGAGCAGTGGTTAAAGTTTAACACTACGGTGTCGGGTGAATTTCCCGCCAAAATATAAGATGGCGCGGGCAATTATTTAGGTTTCCCGCGCAAAATCAGAGTTAGTTTAAAATGCCTATATCTTTTGAAGTATGGGTTCGCATACACAGGTAGGTATCTTTGTGAACGGCAAACAAACAAATATTTGGTAATACGCAGTTACAATCGGCCCGAGTTTACACGTTTCCCGCACTCCACCGCAAATCTATATGAACCGAGTTAAAGACGGCTCCCGCGGAGTACGCGCAATTCACGCGAGCCGACTTAACTCGTTTCCCGCAACCCAAGTGTTAAAAAACAAAAACTATTAAACAAAAAGGTGTTTGAATCTGCTAATTAAAGTATTTCACATGGTCAAAGCACAATTAGAATATTGGGATAAGGTTGGGATGTGCGAGACAGTTTAGATAAGGACCCGTGGGAATAACTGGATGAACCCTGTAATTGGACCTGCTGATTAGTGACTGCAGGCCAGTCCAGTTTAGAAAGTCACAAAGGGAGGCTGTGGGCACATGGTCTTTACAGTTAAACACACAGCTCCAGATTCAGGCCGAGTCTGGACCAGCTTTAGGCTGAGCAGGATGCATCCCCTCTCTGCTGTACTCTGACCAACTTGAGGGGGAATAGGTCCCTTTCTCAGCCCTGCCTCTGTACCTGTAGCAGGAATAAAGCAACGGTCGAGTTAGAGGATATCTGAGAGCCCTTTATGCTGTAAACATGGTTCAAGGTCAGGGCCGTACTTCCTGCTGTTCCCTACAGTGTGTGGACGGAGTAGGTTCAGTAATTATGGTTGAGCTGTACCCTTGTGGAAGTGGAACTCGAGTTGTAAATGTGTCGTCCTCCCAGTCTGGCCTCCACCCCTAACCTACCTCCTTGCCTCTCTCTCATTCTTCCCATCAGGCTAAGTGCAGGAACATGGAGCACTCGCTGCGGGAGAAAGCCAAGGCCTTCTGGGCCATGCGGCGCTCTTATGAGGCCATTGCCAAGCACAATCAGGTAAGTGAGTGCTCCGGCTGTGTGGAACAGTGGGGCCACCTAAGGCCATCTTGCAGGTAGGTGAGGGGGGCTGGCCCTGGTCATGGCTGTTGACACAGAGTCGGCCTTCCCCAGCCCTGACGGTCTAGTACAGCCATGCTCAGACTCTGATTATGGCTGTGCTGCCAGGCCCTCTTTAAATACCTGTGCATGCCATGCCCGTAGCCACAGGAGTGGCTTAAAAGCCACCTGCACTCTGGTTTCAGACTAACTTAAGCATGTGGCACACTTTTCCATCTACCTGAGTACTCAAGCCAGTGATGACCTGGGCTCATTAGTTATTACTCTTTCCCGCTCACTCTCTGTGTCCACTCCATCAGCGGTTCTGTCCCCTCTATCTCCAAAATACATCACGATCACATCCATCCTGCACTCCGTATCCACTGCCACCATCCCAGTCCAGGTCACTGTCTTTTCTCACTTGCCTTCCTACCTGAGCCCCATGCTTCCTTCACTCTTTTATGTTGTTGTTAATCCTCACCTGAGTATATTTTTTTCATTGATTTTCAGAGAGAGTGGAAGAGAGGGGGAGAAACAGAGAGAGAATCATCAATCGATTGGTTGCCTCCCGCACGTGCCCCACCCGGGGCCAGGGATCGAGTCTGCATCTAAGGTATGTGCCCTTGACCAGAATTGAACCCAAGATCCTTCAGTCTGTGAGCCAATGTTCTAACCACAGAGCAAACCAGCTGGGGCACTTCCTTCCACTCTTCTTCTGCAGTCCACTCTCTGCAGAGTGACCTGCTCTTTTAGAAAATGCATCAATCCTGTCACTCCTCTCTTTATAATTGTCCAATGGCTTCCATGACCCACAACATAATGCAGACTCCTCACCATAGCCTCCAAGGCCCTCATCCAACACCTTCCTGCTCCTCAACTTCATCTCCTCTCAGGCTGGCCTGTGCCCTCAGTTCCAGGCACATTGGCCTTCTTCCTGTTCCTTAAATGAGCTAAGTCTTCTGTTTTTTTCCTGCCTGCTCTGTTTTTATCTTCCTGTGTGATAAGAATCATCCCAGATTTCACTCTCTCTTCCACTGTACATTATCAGACTTTTTAGCTTGATATTTCAATAGCGCTGTCTCACTTCCTTTGCATTTCTTGGATTTTTAGTAAGTTTGTACATCCTTTCACAAGTATAATAGCCATTTGCATTTCTTGGAATATTTATATTTTCTCCTTGTGGATGCCATAAGAGCACTTTGTATATTAAGAATAATATGTTCTTATATATATTTATATATGGGAAAATATTTCTCCTACTTTATCTTTTCTTTTTCAATGAAATATTTTCACTTTTTTTGGTCATTTTCACTTTTTCAGTGAACCATTTTATCATCAGATTGTCAGAGCCATAAACATATATTGAATTTTCAATCCAAAGATATGGATTACTGCCCTGACTGGTTTGGCTCAATGGATAGAGCGTCGGCCTGGGGACTCAAGGGTCCCAGGTTCGATTCCGGTCAAGGGCAGGTACCTTGGTTGCAGGCACATACCCAATAGGGAGTATGCAGGAGGCAGCTGATCGATGTTTCTCTCTCATCGATGTTTCTAACTCTCTATCCCTCTCCCTTCCTCTCTGTAAGAAATCAATAAAATATATTTTTTTAAAAAATATATGGACTACTAACCTTCCATTGCTAGAGCACACATTTTGAGGTGTTTTTCCGATAGTCATCATGAACTATACAATTTGTATATTTTAATAAATATTTACCTTTATTAGTATTTAACTTTATTACTTTTTTAAAGCTTTTTGTGGTTATGATTAAGTATGCATATTATTAATGATTCCAGTTTTTGTTTGTTTGTTGATTTAAGAGAGGGGGAGAGAGAAATATTGATTTGTTGTTCCACTTATTTATGTATTCATTGGTTGATTCTTGTATGTGCCCTGACTGGTGATTGATCCTGCAACCTTGGCATATCGGGATGACGCTCTAACCAACTGAATTACCCAGCCAGGGCAATGATTCTATTTTTAAATAAATATTTCCTGCTGCTCTTTTGGTAAGCCTCTTGATCAAACAAATTTGAAATCCTAAGATTGGAAAGCAATTAATTGTTTTTAAATAGTTGCTATTTGCATCAATTCTTTTCTGTGACTCAGGATTTCTTTTGCTGTTGTGCAGCTTAAACAAGATACAGAATAATATATATTGAGGAAGTCACAAGACCACAGTTGTCATATATAAGCAGCAATTTCAGCTTTTAAAAAATTAATCAAAAACAACTTCATTATGCTGTTTGACTTATTTCAAATTTAAACTTGTAAATTTGTGGTAAGAAAACTTCATCTATATTTTATCCATTTGGGTTCTGCATAGGTTTCTTTTGAAAGTCGAGTTCCTTTGCTAAAAATCTGAGTCACTGGGCTAGGTGACAGCTTAGGTTCCCTCCACAGTCTGATCCTCTGTGCCTCCTTCCCGCTCTCTGCTGCAGGTGGAGGCTACCTGGCTGGAAAGGAGAATCCGGCAGGAGTTTGAAAAGCTTCGAGAGTTCTTAAGAGGGGAGGAGCAGGCCATCCTGGATGTCATGGCCGAGGAGGCGAGGCAGAAGCAGCATTTGGTGGAGGAGAAGATGAAGCAGCTCAAGAAAGACACAGAGACTCTAGCCCATGAGATTGAGCGGCTGCAGATGGAGATGAAGGAAGATGATATTTCTTTTCTCATGGTGAGGAGCTCATCATCTCAGTGACAGGGACCAGATGTTCAGGGACCAGTGGGAGCCTGAGACCAGCAGCCCCGGGCAGCCCAATATGTTGTTATTGGAGAGAGAGAGAGAGAGAGAGAGAGAGAGAGAGAGAGAGAGAGAGAGAAACATCCATGTGAGATTGGCTGCCTCTTGGATACCCCCTACTGTGCCCTGACCGGGAATCAAACCAGCGACCTTTGGGTGCATGGGACAATGTTCAACCAACTGAGCCACACCGGCCAGGGCTCCCATACGATTTTGATTCGCATTTCCCTGATGGCTAGTGACATTGAGCATCTTTTCATGTAGTTGTTGGCCATTTGTGTGTATCTTCTTTGGAGAAATGTACATTCAAGTCCTTTAGCCATTTTAAAAATTGGGCTGTTTGTCTTTTTGTTGTTGAATTGTAAGATTTTTTTAATATATATTATGGCTACGAGACCTTTATCAGCTATATAATGTATAAATATTTTCTTCCATTCTGTGAGTTATTTTTTCACTTTCTTGATGACATCCTTTGAAGCACAGAGACTTTTCATTTTGATGAAGTGCTCCTTAACTGTTTTCTTTTGCTGCTGCTTTGTGCTGTTGGTGTCATATCTAAGAAGCCATAGCCTAAGCCAAGTTCATGATTTTTCTAGTTTTATCTCTACGTTTAAGTCTTTGACCCATTTTGAGTTAATTTTTTAATACAGTGTAAGGGAATCCAACTTCATTCTTTTGCATGTGGATATCCAGTTGTCCCAGCACCATTTCTTTAGACCATTCTTTCCCCATTGAATGTTCTTGGCACCCTGTAGATAACCAATTGCCGGTAAATGTGATAGTTTATTTGTAGACTTTCGATGTCCACTGGTCCATATGTCTATCCTTATGTTAATACCACACTAACTTGTTTACTATTGCTTTTATTAAGTTTTTAGTAGGGAAGTGTGAGCCACCAGCTTTGTTCTTTTCCAAGATTGTTTTGGCTATTTTGGGTCCCTTGAATTTTCATATGAATTTTAGAACAGCTTATCAGTTTCTGACATTTTGATAGAAATTACATTGAATCTTTAGATCAGTTTGGGGATTATGGCCATCTTAATGCTATTAAGTCTTCTGATCCATGAACGTTGGGTGTATGGCTCCTTTTGAGGTCAGAAACTTACATGTTTTCTCTGTGTCTATGTTTGTGTCTGATTTTTTCTCTTTCAGAAACACAAGAGCCGAAAACGCCGGTAAGTTGCCAAGGTTGGTGGAGGGGAGGGAAAGAGCAGGCAGAAATACCTGGGGTGCAAACTCCAGTGGCTCCAGGGCCAGGCATGTAATAAAGCCAACTGGGTGTAAGACAGAGGGCGTGATGGGGACTGGCCAGGTGTACAGAGCCCTCTTTCAAGGCATCCCACTGGTACAGTGTTGTTATCCACGGGGTAGGGAGAGAGTGCCTACCTGCGCGTGGCTCGCAGTTCTCAATAGGTTGTCCCAACATTTAAGCTTGTTTCTTGGTCAGCACCCTCCCTCCAAGAGCCTCTGGACATATACTGGCTGATGTTGATGGTTGAACACAGGGATGAGTAAGGAAGAACTGTGTCTCAGACAGAGCTGTACGAAGATGGAAGAGAGTGCTTTGGGCAGTAGTGAGTTCCCTGTCACTGTAGGTGTTTAAGCAAAGGCCAGTGACACCTTCATATTGTTGGACTAGAGGGCCTTTATGATCCCTTTTGACTCAGACATCCTTTGAGCAGATGTGTGAGTGTAATTTCTGCCCACAAGGAAGGCAACCATGTCTGAGTACCTCCTATTTATATTTATCTCAGCTGGAGCAGGATGAGCCCTAATACTGAATCTTGAAGCGGTATGAGCTGCCCAGATGGTTCCTGGCTCATCCTCTCATCAGAGCCCAGTTTGGGTTTGTCCTGGGTGAGGTGGTGGGGAATTTAGGCCTGTGACAAGGGAAGAAGTCCTATTGTTTGTTAAATCCAGCTGACCCAGTTAGGTCCAGATGCATGACCCCGGCCCTGCCCACCAGACCCAGTTCTCCCTCCCCAGCCTCTTCTGCACCATGGAGCCAGAGCCTGTGCAGCCTGGCATGCTGATCAACGTTTGCAAGTACCTGGACTCCCTGCAGTACCGTGTCTGGAAGAAGATGGTCATGTCTGTTGAAACTGGTGAGTGGGGGCGCGTGTGGGCAGGTAGTACAGGCATGGGAGGCACTTCACGCAAGGCAGAGAGCTCACTAAACTCCAGCCTCGTTCAGACAGGGCCCCAGCACCCAACTCCTCCTCCGCTCCTTGCCCCACTGCTCTTAGCAGGACGCCTTCCTCTTTGGGTCCAGGACGCCTTCCTCTTTGGGTCCTGACACTTGGCCACCTCTTCAGAAAAAGAAACTGACTTCCCTCTGGATTGTGGATACAAATCTTCCTCAGTTCAGAATTGCCTCGTTCGAGGTGATTCCAGCCCACACGATCACTAGGTCATGTGCTGTGGCTGAATGTTTGTATGCCCTCCTCCCCACCCAGATCATATGTTGAAGCCCTAACCTTCTATGTGATGGTGTTTGGAAGCAGGGCCTCTGGGAGGTGATTAGGATCGGATGAGGTCATAAGGGTGGTGCCCTATGGCGGGATCCGTGCCCTTATAAGAAGAGACACGAGAGAGCTGACTTCTTCTCTCTCATTCTGTCTTGTGAGGACACAGCAGGAAAATGGCCATCTGTAAACCAAAAAGAGGGCCCTCACCATAACTTGGCCATGGGAGCACCCTGATCTCGGACTTCCAGCCTCTCGAACCATGAGAAATAAAGTTCTGTTGTTTGAGCCACCCAGTCTACGGTGCTTTTGTTGTGGCCACCCAAACTGATTGACTTATAGGGAGAAATGTCAGTGACCCAGGGGATGTTCCGTGCTTTTCTAAGGCGGCATGGGAGTTGTGTGAGCATCAGGATCCCTGCCTGTATTGCTCCCGATGGCTGACATAATCAGACTGCAAACTGGATGCCTTAAAATGGCAGAAATTCATTCTCACATGGCCAGAGGCTAAGAAGTCCAAAATCTAGGTGTCAGCAGGGTCCTGCACCCTCTCAACCCTGTGGGGAAGATCTTTGTCTCTTCTTAACTCCTGGTGTTTGCAGGCAATGTGGGGTTGGGGCCACAGCACTTTTATCTCCACCTTTGTGGTCACATGACCACCTCCCCTCACTGTGTTGCTTCTCTCTTTGTAAGGACAACAGTCATTGTATTAAGGCCCCACTATATTCCAGTCTAATTACATCTGAGACAAATAAGGTCACCTTCTGAGGTACTAGGGGTTAGGACTTCCACATATCTTTCTTAGTGGGGCAAGTTTCAACTCATAACCCTGTCCCTCAGCCCAGGGCAGCTCCCTCCCTGCACTGGGCCAGGTGGGACACCGTTGGTCAGTCTGGGGGGCCGGGGCATCAGCTGGCATGGCAGAAGGGCAGGATGTGAGGTTCGCCGACTTACCCCACTCTCTCCCTCTGCTCTCAGTGCCCTTCAGCTTTGATCCCAACACCGCGGCGGGCTGGCTGGCTGTGTCTGAGGACCTCACCAGTGTCACCAACCACGGCTACCGAGTGCAGGTGGAGAACCCGGAGCGCTTCTCCTCGGCGCCCTGCCTGCTGGGCTCCCGCTCCTTCTCCCACGGCTCCCACGCCTGGGAGGTGGACCTGGGGGGGCTGCCCAGCTGGCGGGTGGGCGTGGTGCGCATGTGCCTAGAAACTGGCCCCGAGGGCTACTCCCACAGCTGCTACCAGGACACTCGCTCTGGTTTCTGGTACCTGTGCCGCACGCAGGGAGTGGAGGGCGACCACTGCGTGACCTCAGACCCGGCCACATCACCACTGGTCCCCTCCATCCCACGCCGCCTGCGTGTGGAGCTGGAATGTGAGGAGGGCGAGCTGTCCTTCTACGATGCGGAGCGCCAGTGCCACCTCTACACCTTCCATGCCCGCTTTGGGGAGGTGCGGCCCTACTTCTACCTGGGGGGCACCCGGGGGAACGGGCCCCCCGAGCCTCTGCGCATCTGTCCCCTGCGCATCACTGTCAAGAAGGAGCTGGATACCTGAGGCCGGCGGGGAGCCTGCCAGGTGCTGCCCAGGTGTTCTGCCATGGTCCTGCTTTCTTTCTGTCCCTCTTTCTCAAGCCCACACTCACCTGGACACCTCTAGGTCCTGCTTTCTTGCCAGGATCTGGCTACTAACTGTCTAACCCTTTTCCGTGGCTCCAGGCCCCAAGCCCCCCTCTTCATTTTTGGTCTTGTCTGTACCCACAGTTGAACGTCATCCAGGAGATAGCTTACTGGCCAGGCTCTCCCCAGAGTCCTGGCATCTTCGGGATGTGAATTTCCTTCCTTCTAACTCCAGGATTTCTGGGGACAAAGTTTGCCGCTAGAGTAAGACCTGTTTTAAAAATGTTTTTAATGTAGGTTTTATTATTCAGGTATGATGAGGCCAACAGATCAAGAGTCAGCTGCCACTGAGAAGAGTTTGTTACTTATTGTTCCTAAGAGGAAGGGCCATGCTATGGGGTGGGGGACGCAGAGGGAAGCACCAGGTCCCCCTAGGACAGTGGTCGGCAAACTGCAGCTCGCGAGCCACTTGCCGACCACTGCCCTAGGAAGCAGAGGGAGTGACGGGGTGCATAGGCAGGAGACTGTAGTGTTTTCACAGGAAGGAACAGATGAGGCAGGTACAGGGTGGGCAGGTTTAGGATTGGTTAGTTTAGCTAACCCAGTTCCCATAGTGAGCTCCAGATTTCAGATATCAAGAATGTAGAAATATATATATAAAAATACAGGACCATGGCTGTGGCTTTGGGGCAGGACCAGGACTCGGCTCACCTGTCACTTTAAACCAGTATTTTAACACTGCCTCACAGAGCCTCCCTGGGGTCCTCGAGGCCCAAGGCGAGGATGCCCATCAGATCAACTCTGATTTAACTCTTTATATTTCTTGGATGATTTCCTCTGAACAGAGGGTTCCAGAGCACTTAAAAAACACAATTTTAGAACCATGGTTTAGGCCCGTTCCCTCTCTGGTGCTGGGTTTCCCCGTCTGTAAATGAGGCAGCAGGACTGGAGGATGATGTGCTTCCATAATTGCTGTGGAGGACACTCCTCGTCGCTGTTACAAAGGTAGGAGAAGGAGGAAAGAGGGTGCAGTCCGGGTGCGCAGGGAGTGAGAAGGGAAGGAGATACTCGTTCTTGTTCTGCTGCCTTTTGTGTTTTTATCCCGATTTCTTCTCCCTCTGCCATGCCTGCCGGATATGTACCTCCATCTTTTTTTCCTCGTGCATGCCTACAGGTAATTTTAATGGTCGAATCACCATGTCCTGGGGACAGCATTGTAAAAGGAAAATAATTTTTATAGTAGCGATGTTCTCACTGGGGGAGCGCGTTCCTGACCGAGGATTGACATTCTTTCTCCTGCCTGCGCCCCCGGTTCACAGAAACGGATATTTTATACAGACATGATGACTCAAAACTATAAATTGGTTATAAATGTGGTGAGTACTTTGGCAGGGGCCACGGGAAGGACGTGGAAGGACGCTGAGTAAAGGCAAGCAGGTTGGGAGTGGGGATGCTGACACACTCGTGAGCGGCCCCTCCAGAGGACTCAGACTTGGAAAAGCTCAAAGCACTTTGATACTAAACACGTGAGGCCAGTGCGCACTCTACAACAAAGTATTTATCAAGCCCTTCTAATATAATTTCCATGTAATTATCTTGACTGGAAGTTTTGTTAGTTATAGTAAACTTTTAAAAATGTTTTTTATTTCCATCTTACATGTTGGGAAAGTTGTGTGTTTTTACAGCTTGATTTGGATAGGCTAGGTCCCTTTTATGAAAATAAAAATATTTGAGCTAAAACCCACTTGTTTTGACATTTTCCTTTTAGTGTTCTCGTAAGCAAAAGTTCATCCATGTTGTAGCATGTATTCAACTTTATTCCTTTTTATTATTGGAATGAGTGACCCCACTCCTCCCTCAGCCTGGCCTGTGCCCTCTCGCAGTCCAGGAGCCCTTGGGGGATGTCTGACTGCTGGCTTAGGCTTGCTCCCTGAGTGGGCCTAAGCCAGCAGTCAGACATCTTTAGCACTGCCGCCACTGCTGCTGCATTCCCCAGCCGTGGGCCCGGCTTCTGGCTGAGCAGCACTCCCCGTGTGGGAGCACACTGACCACCAGGGGGCAGCTCCTGAGTTGAGCGTCTGCCCCCTGATGGTCAGTGCACGTCATAGCAACCGGTCATTCCATCGTTTGGTCGATTTGCATATTAGCCTTTTATTATATAGGATAATATTCTGTCGTATGCATAGACTACATTTTAGTTATCCATTTATCTTCCCGTGAACCCTCTCCTATCCTCATCTTCCACTCTCACTTGTCCCTGGTTCACTCTCCTGCTCATCACTGCATTCTGACTGAAGATGCAGCCTCTGCTTCTCCCAACTTCAGCTCGTCCCATGTGCTGCTGCCAGACATTAGCTTCAGTCTCACCTGTCATCTGAGTGGCCCCCACTCCTCCCTGCCCAGGTACAGTTAGTCCTCCAGGGCAGTGTTTGGAGCTCATCTTTCTCCAGCTCTGCCTTTGGACCCACACTTCCCTGCCTTCCATCACACACACTCCCCCTTCCAGCTGGGCTTCTCCTGACCCTTCACGCCCAGCCGCCTGGCTTCCTGCATACAGCTGGTTGTTTGAGTTGGAATGTCCTGACATCGGTTCTTCTGTCCATTCTCATTATATTGGCTCCACCACTTCCATGCTGTCTCCTTGGGCACACGCTTTACTTTCCTGAGTTCATGTCCCCATCTGTAAAAGTGGGGCACCCCCCACCTTATAAAGGTCTGATGCAGCTGCCTGCACGGTGCTGTCCCCCTGAGCACTTCACAGTGGCAGCCATTGGAAGCGGACAAAGGAGATCATGTATGTTTCCCTCATTGACCACCAGTTATGTTTTGGGTCAGAATTAAGTGTACTGTGGGCATCTTCATTGCTTCCTCCTGTGTGTGGTGGGTGAAATTTCTCTCAATCTGTTGATGAGAATACTGGGAATCTCTCGTGACCCCCGTAGTTTGTGAAGTGGCAGTATGAGGATCTTCAGCACGGAGCGACTGTGCCATCCTGGGGTTTACCCTTAAAGTGACATTCAGAGCCCTCCCCTGCAGCTCCTACCCACCTTTGCCACCATTCTCTGCACAGACTCTGCCCAGCCTCCCAGAGCCCCAGGCACATGCGCATCCCTGGGAGCTGCTTTGTAGTTCTGCCCGCAGGGCCTGTGCCCTCCCAAATATGCCTTCAGTTGTCCTTGAAGTGGTGCCTTCTGAGACCTCCCTGGGCTGCCACTGCACCTTGTCCGTTCTGCTAAAAGGTTCCTTGGTGGCAGAGCTGCTTTTGCTGTCCTCCCCCATGGAAACGAGTGCAGGAAGCAACCCTCTTCATCTCCTGCCAGTTCCAGATACGCTGCCAGGCGTAGCAAATGCTTACTGAGTTGTGTAGCCGAGGTCAGGGAGGCTGTCCCTGAAAACTCCACAGGACCGGCAGCGTCTTCAGTAAGGAGAACATGGCCCAGAGCCTAAAACTCCGTTTCCTGGTTCCAGATACCAACTGTATCATAGCTGCCTGGACCTTTGGAACCTCTGCTCCCATCTAAGATGAGGATTACGATTTCACCTCAGGCTGTTGTGAGGATTAAATCAGGCAGTTCTTTTGGTACAAATGCCATGTGTGCTATCTTAAATAGTATAGACTTGATACGTGTTGGCTAATCCTTCGGAAAGTGGGAGGTTCTGAATGTTGATGTTGTGATTCACATTAATAAAGAATCCCAAAGGAAATTGAGACATGTAAGTTATCTGTATTAGGAGTGCCCCAACTTCTTGAGATTTTTAACAAGGATGTGTACATAAAACTTACGTTTATGAAAAATTTCAATAACATGGGAAATGGTTATGTTGTAATAACCAAGAACAACAGGTTTCAGAGTTATGCCTACAGACATTCAACACACACAAAAAAAAAACAAGCGGGCCCTGGCCAGTGTGGCTCAGTTGGTTGGAGCATCGTCCTGTGCATCGAAGGGTCATGGGTTTGATTCCCAGTCAGGGAAATACCCAGCTTGTGGGTTTGATCCCTGTTCTGGGCATGTACAGGAGGCAACTGATTGATGTTTCTCTCTCACATCGATGTTTCTGTTTCTCTCCCTTTCCCTTCCTCTCTAAAAACAATAAAAGCACATCCTTGGGTGAAGATTTTTTTTAAAAAACAAGTGGGATCTTGTCTCTAATTTTTGTGTACTATTTGATTAGATCATTCATTTATGTGGCTGTAAATTCCAAAAGTACAGAAAGTACTAGAACAGTCTCCCACTTTTTCCCATTCAGCTCCCCTCCTTGTGGACAATCATACTACCATTTAAAAAAATCCTTCCAGATAGATTCTTTGCACAGTAATATTGTTTATGAGTATATCTGGTTCTCCCAAAACACTGTAATTTAAAAGCAGATATTCTAGATCTGTATCTCTAAGCAACCCAACAAGAGGAGAAAAATAAGGGATATTAAAATAATTTCATCATGGGTATCTTCATGTAGTAAGTTCCACTGGTGGATTGGGTTTTTCTTGTTTTGACTATTTCACCTTAGGGTTGTTTTTTTTAAATATATTTTTATTGATTTCAGAGAGAAGGGAAATGGAGAGAGAGGTAGAAACATCAATGATGAGAGAGAATCACTGATTGGCTGCCTCCTGCATGTTCCACCCTGATGACCAAGCCTGCAACCCAGGCATGTACCCTGACTGGGAATCGAACCGTGACCTCCTGGTTCATAGGTTGATGCTCAACCTCTGAGCCATGCCAACCGGGCACACCCTAGGGTTTTAAAACGGGGAAAAACTAGGTGGAATCTAGTTGCTCCTGACATTAGAAGATAAACCTTAAACCTGAGACCTCAATTTACATTTAGAAAAGCTCAGTCCTCACAAAAATATCTAGTGACCTAAATAGGCTAGTGGTTAGGAGGTTGGGATATGGGGTTGGACAAGCTGGGTTCACTCACTCAACCACTGTGTGGCCTTGGGAGAGTTACTTAACTTCTCAGTGCCTTAGTTTCCTCACGTGAAAGACGGAGATAATATGATACCGTAAGATTCATGGAGACAACCTGCCTCCTAAGGTGCTTATGAGATTAAATGGGCAAATGTGTGAAACACTTAGAATAGGGTCTGGTTCATGCTTGGCGGTTGTGAGTCTCCTATTGTGTGACCTGGCCCTGCTACTAAAGAGCTGTGAGACTTTAGATAAACTTCGGTAAGCAGGGAAACTAGGCCACTTGCATATTGTTTTCGAGGTCTTTTCCAATTCTCAAGTCCTGTGTGTTGTGTCACTAGCAAAAGTCTAGTTTCTTGCATGCGGCAGGGACTGCCGCTGACCAATACTCGGTAACCGCGGTGTGGTGCCAGGAGCTTTGCCTCCAGTTTTGAGTCTAGAGAAAAAGAAGCCTACGGAGTCTTAACGTCTGAAGTATAGAAAAGGTTCTTCTAGAGAGGAGCAGGTCTTGGGAAATCGTTCCTTAAATTAGTAATCAGCCGTGCACAATAA